GATAAGATGAGGTCAACACTGGCAAAACCATGGGTCACCTGCATAATCACCGGCCCACCTGCTAGTTGAGAAGACCAGGAACCCAGTTAAGGCTTTATTCATCTAAATCAGTGGCGCTTAGGCATTGTCACTCCAAAAATGGAGACACTGTTAACGTTATGGTCAATTAAATACAATTAGGTGCACTAGTAAGACATTTCTGGGAAACCTTGTATGGTGTTGTACTAAAGGAGATGTCGAAAATACAGTGATCGGCAGTGGACGCTGATACTTGGAATATAGTGAGTAAGTAACTAGTACCAGTGCATGTGGATTCCCATCATCTTTAGCTCAGCAGGTGGCTCACCTTAAGGTTCCACACATTAGCCAGCCGACGTTATTCTCTTTAGTCTACATCGGCATCGAAGGTCTGTATATCGCATCACATTCGATTCCGCCCAAACCCTTTGTGGCTTTTAACTACGCGCGGACGCCCAGTGGTTTGATCATCATTGATCGGTAAATCCAAATCGGATACCATTCACAAGTGACAGGAACCAAACAGACGAAGACAAGAATAAAACAAGGTCTAGTACAAACTTAGACAATTTACTATGGATGTTCTATTTTTAGGCAAATTGCCCACTACTTACTGTACAAACTAAACTTATACTCGCATTCGGCTGCAGATGACAGTGGAGATTGGGAAAAGCTATCCAAACTCCGACGTTGGAAAAGTCACAAGTAGGGCGAGGCGAATCCAGCAGGTGCATAAAGTGTCTTTTTATAGTAGAAGGATAGAGTGACTGTTCGAATATCAGGTGTGTTAGTCACCGCAATATTAAGCCAGGGTGTATAGAATCTACTGCTTGTTCTTTGGTCCAGTTGTCCAGTTAAAAACGCCCAGTGTATTCCGCCGCACGAAAGCAGGAAATTTGACTTCTGGATAGAGGAAGAAAGAGTTTTTGGAGTACCCGTTTCAAAGCGCTTTAGCCGAGAAGATGCTGCTTAGTTTTTGATAGATCTGATTAGTCAGGTCAGTCAACGTGTTACTTTGGAAACCAGGGCTATTACAGACTCATTTTTCTGTATTAATTTAAGCCATTGGATCTCATTCATTCAATTATATTTTAAAAAATTCATAGAAACCCCCAGAGTGTCCTATAACGCTAGCCTATTTGAAGAAGATTTCTGGTGCCCCGATCACAGACCCGGGGTCTACTTCAGGCTCAACGGTTTAAAGCTGTAAACATTGTTTCATGATTCCAACCACATGAGTTTCCGTTAGTGAAACGAATATGAAAACCCCTCTGACGTAATTCATTACAAAAATCTAGCCACTGAAAGGATACTTAAAATTTATCTTTAAGATAAATTAGGTGAAAAAATAGGTTCTTTTCGAGTTGCTATCATAAAGCGTAAAGTTTGGTTCCTAAGTTGACAGGAAAACAAGACCATCCTCATGACAACAATGAAATTTTGAAAAGTTTCAGCAACCTTCTTAGTTGCATGTTTTATCAATGTGCCAATCTAAATTTTGAATTATGAGATTTAAGCGGCCATTTCTAGCTCTTGTTAAAAACCGCCGGCTTGAAAATGCTTAAGGAGAGTTATTTGTATGGTCCGATAGTAACATTACTCAATCAAGGTTACTTCCATCAGGTGAAAGTCTGCTTCATAAAAAGTACCTTATGAAACCACCGGCTAAAATCAGTAAAACTTCCTGAGTGATCTGCTGAACTTAATGCGTCATGTCTCTTCACTGACATGACAATATGACATGACTGATATGACAAAGAAGATACGGAATAGTTTTCGATCTACGAGAGCGAAAAGAAGCAATTGTTGTTGTCAATTCTTATCACCTAGGCCCTGTACTATCAATTGTCGCAAGTTTGTTTTTTAAATATATTGCCTTTTCCTTTCTAGCACTTACTATAGCACCTATACTTATACCTCAGAGACGAACATTTTTCTTATAAAGAGAATATTTGTAAAGGAAACACATTTGTTGAAAAAATTGGTTATCACAGCGGAATTGTTGAGACTCTAGCACAAATCCTTCAAAAAGCGCTTATAAATAGAATAGATTAGAATTGCTCACTGTAATTAGCTTACTTTTGCAATCCACATGTGCTTGCTGCCCACATCCTTCTAAAATAAATTTCCAGATAATACAGCCCAAAGATTTCGTGAAATTTAGGTTGTGTGAACATTTAATAAGTTGTCTTGACTACATGCAACAGTTTGTTGTCGCAACAGGTAAAGCCATGCATTGATCATTGAAACCTGCCTCCGAATTTGGTAGTGACATACGGAACGGAATCTCTCCGGATAACCCGATAATATAACCAACCCGTTTGTCGGGTTGGTGGACGGACTCTAGGGCACTCAACAGAACGAATGTCTTCCGCAGGACCAGTGAGCCACTTGAAAAATGTCCACAAATTGTATTTGAAAACGGACACTCAAAAGATCACTAAATGGTGTTACTGGGAGCATGACCACACAAATTTAACCATACTCCTCCCGCTTCTCTAACGATCTAATCCTAAATCAAGTCCGATTCCGAAGTAGCTTTGTGGGTAGATAAGTAAAGCTTTCAAAAATTTAAGAGCATTCAGCTGTACACCCCTTGGGCGCCTAGCCTCCATTTCGCCCGAAGGGAGCGCGAGGGCTGGGGTATTGCCGGCTCGCTCAAACACAGACAACAGTAGTTGAAAAACTTCTGTTATGCCTCTTTCAACTTTTTCAACTCAGAATCCAAAAATGGTGCAAAGTGTAATATTATGATGAGTTACCGATTCCAAGGCCACTTTCATCAGAACCGGACTTATTCCTGCACGGAGTCAAATCCCGGCCTCTAAATCTGCACTGAACACAACTTCCTGAATTTAAAGTGGCAAAACAATATCATATGTACATATAATTCCGCACTAATAAACAGTCATTAAAAAGTTACTCCATATGTTCAGGATTCACTTTTGCTTTAAGTTGCTATCGATTAACGAAGGCTGCTTAACACTCATAGATTGATTGATGTAACACTAGAAAAATTTGTTCTATTTTTCTTTCGGCAGACGAAAAATTCAACCAGGTCACGGAGATGAAATATGCTTGCTCTTATATGAATTTCGCAGTGAGGAATGGAAGATGGCTGAACACAAATAAGACTTGCAACCATTATTTGCTGGTTATAATAAGTTACTGTGAAACCAAAGCCAGCATTTCCCGCAAAAACAGCACGAGAGACAACTTTGCGGTATATCATTCTCTCTCTCCAAAAAGTCGCAACTTACCGGAGCAGACTTCCAACACTGCATCTAGGTCCGATGCAGATGGAATAGCGTACGTCATGGAGTTCCCCACTTTTACTGAAATTATCCTGTTACCACGAAATTAAATTTACCCAGAAATATTAGAAACAAGTCATTTATTTTGAGCATTTCGGAGTACTGCACACAGAAAAGCGGGGCGCTCCCATAAATACAATGTATTCAATATACCTAAAGTAGCGATTGGTGCTTCATACCACAATTTTCACTGGAGAGGGCCAAACGGAATTCTTTGGATTGTTCACATGATACAAAACTGCATGTGATAATGAGGTGCTGAAGAGTCTCTCAGTCTTGGTTCCAACCAGGCTGGAGAGTCTCTGAAAATAGGCCATAAAAACATGACTATTAAATAAGTCTCCTAAAAAGACCGGAGAGCTTTCATGTGATGATAATCTTTGTGTGCAACTACTAAAGCCAGTCATTAGTTCTATTTATTGAATTGAAACATTGTGTTCCCCTTCTTTTTATCATTAGAACAGGCAAAAGACATGCTGTGGTAGGTTGGTGGTTCTCTTAATCCATCTCGTCGCGGACTGTTATGTGCCTGCGATAAATACCATTTTATCTTTTGAAGAGAAGTGGCTTCAGTCCCAACACGAAGCAGCATGTGCCCAAGTCAAAAACCATCCTGATCTGCGTTGATATTTTTGCATCCCACCAAATTGCATTGTCCACTGAAGCAACCTCTGGTGGAAAAATCTGGAGAAATAATTACCTAGCACCATTGGGACCCCGGGATCCTTGGATGGGATTTAAAAGTTTGGACTCATACTCTGAGCTTAATTGCCTGTCTGTTTTAGTCCATCGGGGACACGTCGTAGATTAGAAAATTGAGTTCCATTGTGCGAATACTGAGCGCCCACTTCTGTAGCCGCAGCAGACCGGCGCTCAGCATTCGCACAACGAAGTGGAATTTTCGGAACGTATGAAGTGCCCTTGATGAATGACTGAGAACACCAGTCCGAATTTTCGAACTCCATTTAGGCATCTCGGGGTCTCAATGAGGCTGGGGAATTATTCCATCTGACATTTTCGCCAGAGGTACCATTGTTCCAGTGGACAATGAAATTTGGTGAGCTGCAAAATGTGAACGTTGTTCGAGATGGTTTTTAGTATGAGCACACACGCAACAAGACGCAACATTTTGGCGGGAAAATTTCACTTCACCCTTAAAGGCTTTGCAGCTAACAGCATTGTGCGTTTAATGGGCGCCCATCAATTCTGTTTTCATTTTGTTTTAATCGCCCAATAACATGCCAACAACGCTCTCACTAAATTGAAACGAAGCCCGTGTAACGCATTTAAAACCCGACTGTACCTGATTGTATGCCTATCATATGACATTATATGTGCCTCTCCCTCCCTCTCTTCCCCTATTGCAGGTACCACGGGCCCTGGACAAAGAAAAGTATCCCGCTTGTACACCCCCAACTGATCTTGACCCAACCTTGTACACCCCTGTCTTCCGGTTTCGGTTCGGGTTAATGCATGTGCGTTGTGGCTACACTCTGGTCTTCTTCCCCATACCACCCGACCTGTGCGCATGTGTGCTGTGTATACTGTGTGGATTCATTAATACCAGTCTGTATATCTGCACATTTCAGAACTGACGTGTGCCGTCGCTACATTCTGTCGAACGTCGAATACTGCTGACTTCCTGACGTCCCACTCTAAACTCAATAATCCTGAGGGGATTTCTTTGTGGGAGCAGATTGTGTCTAGTAAGAACTCATGACATCCCAGCATATAAAATAATTTGAAATTTATTGTGTCAATTCCCTTGTGGTTCATTCGTAGTTCAGGGCGTTGTCAGTGAGCATGACGTCGTTGTGTACTTCCATCTGATACTGGATCAAAACGCTTCTTCAAGATCCAACGGCACCATTTGATCATTTATACGCTATCCTACACACGTTCATTTACGATGGGCATATATTTTCACCATCCTGCCTACCGGGATGCCTCGATAAATCGGTGTTATGATAGCTATTCGAACTGCAGTGCCTGTTAGGACCGAGTGAACTGAAGATATATGTATCTCCCGTGCATTTTCTGTAAACCCGTGGGGTGAACGATAACATATTCTTTACAAGCAGAATAACGTCGTTTTCCCCTATCTCTTCACAGTCATCGGAAGTCTCTGTTTATTGGATTGCATACCAATTCCTGTCGCCAAGTTGACCTGACGATGGAGAACTCCTTGATATTACTTCAATAGACCTCAGTTAGTCACTTGAAAACGACGTATCCTTAGGTGCTTGGTGTCCGGAGGTTTTTTTTCCGGATTTAAGATGCAAAGACTTCAACAAACATGACATAAACTCCGTCCATTCGGCTGACCCACCAAAACATTTTTGTGTCCATCGCAATAAGAATTTCGGCCCAAAGCCTCAAAGCCACACTGAACACCGTTAAAAATCTGGCTACTGCCATTACATTACTTTGTTCATTTGGGATCACTTGACTAACTGCGGAAAACTCCAGATTTTTGCTCATCTCTCACATGCGTCCCATTTCGGACTTCTGAAAGTGTTTTCGTTGACATAGTATGAATGTGTTGAAAATGAAAAAGTTATCACCATGGCACAAATACCGTATAGGCCCAAATATGCTCTTTTGTTGTGATGGTTGAGCTTCACTGTTCCTAGAAGTAGGAAAGGATATGAAGAATTCGACCGACAATGATCAACGACCCTTCAAACTGCGACAAATCGTAGTAAGACGTGGCATGGATTTAAGTATCTTACTTTGCTCTGCAACAAGAATGTTGAGATAGGAAGACAATTTTCTTCAGGCAACGAGCGTGTCCATATTCAAGGAAGAAGTGATGCTGCCTCCCCTTGAAGAAGTTAGGTTTAGAAAAAAGTAGACCATGAGAAATTTACACTCGAATCACCCAATGGTTAACCACGAGCAAAATGCTCTTGAAAGTACATATTCTGTTGCTTGTCAGTGGATACCAAAGTGCACAGCCGCACTGGGAGTCGTACAGTTATACCTTATTATCTTCCTGATCTGTCCGAGCTAGCACCCGGGAGTCTGGCGCATCAGACTGCTTTGTCGTGGGCTCTGGGAAGTGTTTCTCAAAAGCACCGTGAGAAACACTGTCTTGTGGTTCAGAACTCCCAGCTACCGGCTATGGGAATAGTCCCAAAAACAAACTTCCACTTTTTATCACAGACTTATGAGTTGAACGTTAGAGTCAATAAACTTTTCTTCTTCAGTCTGGGCGACTGACAGTATTATTCTCCCTTGCAGCTCTTTGTTCGATTACCATTATGCACATTCCCTCCCCTCTCATCGAATGGAGCACCGCGACTTACTCAGTGTGATGCACACCAACTCACAGTGCACTGATATATGTCACCTCAACCAGCGTGATGGGACGTTTAAAACAAATTGCTCATCCCAGTGAACAAGCCAATGCCCCTCATTACTACATGAGCTACCAATATTCTCCTTTATTACATCCCGTAATCTCTTCAAGATTGGACACCAAGGATCCATTGCTGAAACCGCACTTCTCCATTCTGTCGATGTTTTTCCAAAACAAGCAGAAAACTCCCACCTTTATCATGTAGCCCAAGTCGCTTGGAAGTAGTTCAGATGTTTTAGATGCTACTGCTTGTCTATATGATCCTGACGAAATGGCTGTTAGTGTATATGTTGTGGGAGTCGCACATAGCTCCAAAGATGGAATATCTTGCCGGCCCGGATCCCAGTAAACAGTCGTCCTCACGGCTTTCGGTTGTCTATATATGGATGCGGCAAACGGTGCTTCTTTATCAGCTGTACTACAATATTTCGAAATATCGAGCCATTGTATAATGTGGGGATCGGCAAACTGAAATCATGCCGGAAAATCCATGCCAGCAACTAGCAACTACAAAGGCGCATCATATCTCCTTCAACCACCACAATGTCTGAGCTTTTAGCTCGCCGCAGCAGAGCATTCAGGGCGTCGTAAAACCTGTCTTTGACGGTGTCAGAGCTACAATCAGTTGGGGCATAGGCAGACACGATAAACAGACATCTATCAACTTGCCGCTTGTGAGACTCCTTCACAGACAATAATGATGAAAACCTTGCTAGAGACAAAACTCACTTGTGTTTCAGCCAACGGGAAAGCAATTTACGAACAATATGAAACAGCCACTTGTTCGAAAATCGTCTTCTTGAGCAGTAAACTAAATACTTCCAGGAGCAGTTCATTCGACACACTCAAACATAACTTTCAAAAGAACCAAACGACTTAAATGGAACATCAGCTTCAGCCAACTGTAAACAGCAAACTTTTGCCATGTGATACTACTCTCAAAATAACAAGGTACACAACCTAGATAGTCTGCAACCTGCACTCTTTAAAGGAAGTGATGAAGCTCTGGTAACCACTGACGAAGTTGGTGCAAAAAAATTGAAAAAAATAAAATACCGGTCAAATGAAGACCCTGGACTATAAGCACACTCTTTAAAAATGGTGCCTGGACGTTATGCGTAAAACACCGTAGTTGTGGCATCCAGGGTGCTCTCTGGCACAGTTCAACCGGTTATCCGCCTGAGCAAACTCGCAAAAGCCAAGAGTGGTTTTGCCCTGGCCAAGAATGTCTCGATTGTATCTTTACCTTGAGACGAGTTACTGAGTGGCATCACTCTTTCAAACATCTCACGTCGATCGATTTTCTTAATCTGGAATTTGTTTTTTACTTTGACCTTTGTCAGAATCCCCGGCGGTGTTTGGTGATTAAGAGTGTCCCTTCAAATTTTTATCTCTTACAGAGGCACTTTAAACGAACTTGTGTGGGCGCGTACTAGTAGACAGCAAGCTGTCACCTAAGTTTACTACGTCCGGTGTAAGACAATGCTGACGCCTGTCACTATACCTCCTTAAATTTGTTAGTGATGTACTGCCTGATACTTCCCTCCCTATCTCCGAAATATCAGGGTCAAAATGCCTCCGAGTGGTTTTCTTACTGGCATTAAGCGTACAAACGATAGTGTCTCTTTTTTACAGTTCTATCATACCTGTAAGTCATTTTTGACAATCTAAATAATCTTTCGTACAGTCTGATATGCACTACACGCCTGCAAGTCGTGAAAGTTTGTTACATGATTGAGTGGGATTGAATCCAAACTCATCGGCTTGCAGGCGAGCTGAATGAGGAAGTAGATAAATTTTTATTTGGGTAGTTGTTGAACTGGCTGAAGATCAAACTGCTCCTTGAATCAGGAAGGCCAGTGCAGCTTTTGCCAACCTCCGACACATAGCAGTAACGTGACGTCAGTTTGCCTTCGAAGGGCAGAATTCACACTGCAGAGATGCGATTTATACTACTTCATGGATCAGAGACCAAGGCATCTGGCAATATCCCAGGCCTCGTGCTTCCTTCTGATGGCATGGCAGTTTGACTGCAGCGCTACAGCTGAACTGTACTCTGTTATATTATATAGTATAACAATTTGGTATATTTAATATTTTGGCAACTAAATATGACCAAATATCCAGTCGAGAACAACTGCCTCCCTAAATGAAAACCTTAGACCCAACTCGCCAGAGGTTACCAGCGGTGGATGCAATGACTCAATCGCGCATCCAGTGGCGCTCGTGCACTAAAGCTGTCGCCCTGAACGCGCAGCTACTCAGTTTTCGAACCAACCGGATATATCATCGCCTCCAGTGCTCGGCTGTATCTCCCACGCGCTCACATTCTTTGGCGACGGAAACTGTAGAATTAAGATTTAACGCATCCTCTATTGGTGCGTGGTTCATAGTTGATAAACCGAGTGACAAAGGGTTTAATTTATCTCCTTTGCGGAACATATCTTCAAAAATCAGGGCTATACTCATCGCTTTGAACAGTCGATCTACATGAGATGAATTGTTCAATATTTTTGGAAAGGCTTTCATGACTGCTTCACTCCTAATACTGAGGTTTCGATATGAGGCTACAGCTTGAAGCTGTGCAGATCGCAGAGTTTGCGTCTGAGTAACAATTTTACTGTGCCCCTGCATGATGAGTGCCTGGGGTGAAATGGGCATTATGAGGCATTTTCGCTGCCCGGTCGAAGAAATGCTTCAGAGAACAAATTGCTAAGTAGCTGAGCTACCAAAGGTCTCTCTCCGGATGTGATTCACCGGCTACGTTGTGACACCACCTGAAAAGCTAAGGAGATAACAAGGGAAATTCAAATTTGATTTCCACGTTTCCATGATTCCGTGAACCTGGGTGAGTATTTCATAGTATGTATATACGCGCTTTTTGTACCCATGTCAGTTGATTATGTTTTGGTTGAACCTATCTTGGTGGCCAATTCGGGATTGACTCTCACTGCAAGGATATATGCTGAACCTCATTTGTTTCTAGCATGCAAAAGCTTTCGGCACAAGTGTTTACATCGCATTACTTGGGAGCCACCAACTTCAATCCAACCGCGGACCCAGTCGAGCCATGTGGCAATCAGCTATCGTTGAAGAGCTTTGATAAGAAATTGTCCTTCGTTTTTGAGCACACCACCTGTCTCTGACCAATGCACTGAACATGCACGTTTATCTGTTCACCCTACCTCAGGGGCACGCCGGTTTATGCAATAGCATCCTGTTCACCACATTCAAAGCCTCTCTATAGATAAACAGCATCGACTTGAGCTTACTGAAGAGCTCCCAGAACTTGCCAGGTACGATCGCTGTAACAGCGTTTTGGATGACAATCGGAAAAAAGTGAAA